TGAATTTTGAAACATCCATTGCTTTGTCATCAAGTTTATACAGTTTATGTCTGGAAAGGCTTGTAATTTTCTTGTGTATTTTCACACAGCTTTCGCATACTTTCTCGGAGCACTCGTAACAGAAACTTTACTGCTTGGACATTTTGTTTCTTCTCGGAGACATGGCTCACCAGTTAAATCCTTCAGCTGACATATTTATTTTCACACTTGATCAAAAAACCGAAAGTAGATTCCGAATTTGTTCTTAAAAGCCCTCCATATCCTCATTTTCTCTCTGACAGAAAACACCAACTATACGTAGTACTGTCAGATGGAAAGTTAACGATTCAAATGTTTTGTGTAGAGCTATTCCATATCATGTAAATAAATTGTAAACATAGAACATCTATGCGAAACAAAACTAAATTTTTGTAAAAAAGACCCGAAATTTTTGACCAAAAATTAACACCCTTTGTCGGCATGGGAAATAATAAGATAAATAAATCTTTTAAAAATAAATTGGGGGTAAAAAACAAATTAAATGTCCTAGGGAAAGGGAGACACAAAAGGAAAACCGTGTAAAATATTTTAAAATTGGCTTTTTTTTTTTTTAAAATTCCTTTAAAATTTTTTTTAAAACAAAAATTATAAATTACTGTGAAACCCCATTTTTTATTGGGTGGGGGCAGAAATTTTCTTTTGGGTTTTATCAAAAAAAGGTTTCGGGGTTTTTCCCTTAAAATTTTGGGGAATTTTTCTTTTTTCCTTGTAAAAAAAAATAAAAAGGGAAAAGTAATTTTTCATTTAATCCTGCCCTTTTTTAAAACTTCCCCCCCGTGTATATTACACAGCTCTTGTCAATAAATCTAATCCTGGCCTCTGGCAGTAACACAATTACTGCCGATAATTGACTGCAATTAACACCTTTGTGTGACATGATATGCCCAACTCCATTATATGCCCCTATAATTCGCCAATGTTAAACATCGCATAAATTATAACGACATCTGCAAATTTTTAACCAGCCAGTAAAAAAGTTAACACCCCGAATTAGTCAAAACTACACACTACATCACATCGACTGTGTAAATTTATATGCATATAAGATTAATACCAGTAAATGGCTCAATACAGTTACATACATGTATGTGTGCATCTAGTGTAAAGACGACGGCTTCTTTGATATTTTTCGGAATAGCAGTCACACAAATACATATTGAAAAAAATATATTTAAATGGATCATATAAACACTAGTCGTTAAAAGTTTTATCGGGGATAATTAATGCACTTGGTTCCCATATTTACTCGATTATGTCACGTATTCTGGCTAACACAATCAAGTAGCCTACAACAAACAAACAAGTCCCCTGATGTTTACATGCGACGAACATTTGTGACAGCAAACTGAAGACATACAATCGATTTTTCTTTCAAGTTTCTTAAATATTGCAAAATTAAACTATTTATGGATTTAATTTGTCACTGACCAGATTATAATATACATTCATACCACAAATATCGGCCGGAAAAGCGCCGACGCATGTTGTGATATATGGAACAGAGACATGGTAAGAAGCGTTTGTTGGGATAAAATTTCGTCGGGTCTTAAATTCGTGGATTGACCTATCCACGAAAACCACGAAAATTCGTGCCCCACGAATAATGATGATTTCACAGTATTTATTATTATTTATTTATTATTTATATTATAAATTTATACATTCACTCGTAACTGCTTAAATACTTCCCTAAAACACAAAGACTATGCTTCTAATAAGCATGTACAAATATGCCAGAGTTTTTTACTTATTTTGTTTCGATTGTACATTTATTTTATTTAACAGCATCACTTTTGCATGGCCATTTGCCCGTGTAGCAAACATTCAAACGTGACTGATTCTGGATATTTTGAGGCACATACCAATAGTTCATTATAGTTAGAGTTAAAAGATACCTGTGCTGATTTTGATCACTTTATTTTCCAAAATACAGTAGATTTAGATTCCAGGGCACTAAATTTGAAAACAATAAGTCAGCATCAAATAATAACAAAACAAGATGAATTTGAACTGGAGAAAAATCCACCTCAAGTGACACTTGAAGAGTAATAACGGGAGCAATGGAACTTGTTTATTCTTAAATCTTTATGAGTTACCCAATACATAAATTGTATATGAATACAGCAAAATCCGAAATGCAATGTGACCTTTCAAGTGTAATTATTGAATTTATTTCAAAAGACACAAGATACCAACAATTAATGTAACCCAGCATGGGTGTTTGCCATTTTATTAGCACGTGACATTTTACTAGTTTTCTGGAGGGGGGGGGGGGTCACGAGATAAACACATTCTAGACTAATCTGGGACAGAGGACCATGACCCCAAAGCCGCCTCCACCCCTCAATATATATAAGACAAGTGGCTGGTGTATTTTACTTATAAAACAAACAGTGCATATCTTTGACCCTAACATACACTGAATATTCTCCTGCTAATAATCACCAAATTCACTTCTGTATATCAAATTTCTGATAGCAGTGCCTGTGCTACTTTCAATTTTTCAAATGTATCCGTGTCTTTCAAAAGAAAAGACCCTGAATGTATCAGGCTAAATATACATGTACCTTGAATAGAATTATGATAAGGTTAATTCATGACAGTATTCCCAAGCTTAAACTGATTAAATGATACTCAGCGTAATTACATTCTATGTTTTATTTTTTAGAATTATCCTTTAGGGAATAAAGCAGCAAGCTGAAGTTTTACTATGCTGTTTACACTTCACTTGATGTTATTAAAGAGGAAGTATCATCATCACGGAAAAATGCCAATGAGCTCAGAGATTTTTATCTAGGTTTACTGTATCCAGCAGAAGACTACAATTAAAGTGTATCCTTTGAATATTTGAAATGCCACATATTGTTATTGATGCTTTACAGTAAATTTTTACTTTATTTTCATGATTAAATTGGTCTTTGTACAGTACTTATTATTAGTGAAGATTTTATTTGAGTCTTTTTATAAAATTTTCTTCTTTGAAAGAATTCAAACAATAAGTTCAAGCAAACTATTGTGATTAATATGAAATGGTTAGTGCCAAATCTTAAAAATTTCATAATAATTAATTCAAGATGATGTAAGATTTAAACCTTAACATCAGTCAGATATCACCAGGATATGTTACAAATACAAAAATTAAATTTGTTATTGTTGTAGAATCATCTAACACAACTTTGCGGGACAATGAAATTAGAAGTGTAAGTGTTTATTTTTATCTGTAAGCAGCCTTCAAAGTTGATTTTATTTGTGCCTTTTATATAATTGTAGTCATGTGCAGTACATGTGAGTACTTACCTATTAATGGTACCAGAAAGTTTAGACAGTTTTTGATGGAGCATAAATTACACTATGTGTACAGTTTCCACTTGTTTACCTTCCATCTGTCCGTCCTTCCATCACATTTAATGGTTTCTCGTAGTACTTAATTTATTGAGTTAGACATTAGCTATGCTGTTATATTCCACGGACCTCTCCCCTGGGATAGGATTTCAGCCCAAATGAATCAAAGTCAAGGTCACTTTGCTTAAAAATAGATTTTCCTTAAAGTAATGCTTTGTCCTAGAGCTTTGTCAAGTACAGAATGGGGAGCATCCATCTTTGTTACCAATGTTAAAATTGTTGCTGTTATCTTTGGTTGGTTGGTTCTTCAGTCAGTCCTATAGCAACAGGGGTAATTACCAAAGATTTAAGAACTTGTAGAACTGACTGATCCATATTTGTAGATAAATTACGATAAATCTTTTATTTTAAAAAATCACAAGAACAATGAAATTGAAAAGCAATTAGCATACTGAAGAATAAGTTATAGTGTAATGTTACATGTGTGTGTAATTTTATTTTTGTAACTTTTTCAGATGTTCAGAAAGTTACACAATGCCCATGTTTGTTGTGTAATCCATTTTACATTCCTGGAGAGAATATCACTTCAAAGTAAGTAAAGTACATATTATAAATAACATAGATTCTAGAGTTCTAGATAATATTCAGAGTCATATAACTGTCATTTTTTTCTAAAGGGATTTCAATTAAACTTTCACAGAACTATTGTCACCAAGTTTTGCACATATCAAACATTAACTTACATTATTATTTTACTTAAGTTACTTTTTTATCACTTTTAATCTAGATACAAATAAATTATATACAATTACAAACTGCCCTAATATACAGTGGAACCTCTGCAGACTGGCCCTCTACAGAGTTATCACCTCTGTAGAGAAATAACCTCTGTTTAGCAATAACTTCTGTAGAGCAGTAACCTTTGTAGAGCAATTACTATTTCACAACAATAGTATCAGGTCTTCCAAAACTGAGACTTCACAATAAAGTAGAGCTGTCATTGATTCAGTAAAATGCATATTAACAATATATCAACATCGAATGTCAAATATCGGCGATACAATGATATATCGATTTTTACTTATCTATATTTCACCTTCTTACCTGTTTTCATTATTTCAGTAAAAAGAATGTTCTGTGCATAAAATTATGATGTTAATATTTTGTAAAATGCCCTCTGCATGTTTTTTTCTGACTATCCTATATGTCCTCACTCCTATGAAATATGTAAATTAACATAGGTTTCAACATGCCATTTTCACATGACCCAAGCTTTTGTTTATGTTTTGGATGACTTTTCTTCATTTCTAGACATTTTATTAATTTCTCAAGAATATTTATTTTTTCAAATCTGTATCAATAACCAATAAACAGAAAAATATCAACAATACATGGATATCACCTTCTATCGATGACAGCTCTACAATAAAGTTAACCTCTCTGGAGCAACATTTCTCAGCAAAAATCAATTTTTTTTGTCTCCCAAAACAGGTTGTACTGTACCTTTATTTTCTTTAACACAACATTCATCAAAGTAAACAAATGTAAAACATGTATATGTATCTAATTGAAATCAATCTCTGAATCATAAATACATGTTTGATATTATACTTTTTCAGGTCATTTAATAATACTGTGATATCCATGATGCAAGAATGATGAAATTGTGGAGATTATAGTTTGCCACCTCAGAATTTTTGCCACAACAGAATTGTTGATTGGAAACAAATAATATTAAACAACATTGTGTTGAATTTAGGAAAGCTTGAAACAGTCAGCTTAGTCAAATATAAACATTTTACCATCAATTGTTCTATAAGCATTATATTAATATGGAATTGTTACATTCTATTTGAAGGACCCTGCTTACAGTAAACCCTATTATTTTGTCTTTTACATAAATTTGCTGTATGGAGGATCCATGATATGTTGTTGCTGTTAACATTTTTGTGTCGCCTCTACGGAGTGCAATTTCATCCAAACTTTACAGGAATGATCAGTACCAAGTCTAGTTGTGCATATTGTCAGCATTTTCCGGTTCAATGATTTTTGTCAGAGTTATTAATGGCCCTTTAATAATTTTTATTTTTAAAGTTTGTCCGGACTACTTCTCTTATACCACTAATGCAATTTCAATGAAACTTTACAGGATTGATCTGCAGCTCAAGTCCTAATGCGCATATTGCACGGGTTTTCCGGTTGAATGATTTTTTGCAGAGATATGGCCCTTTAATAATTTTTATTTTTAAAGTTTGTCCGGACTACTTCTCTAATACCACTAATGCAATTTAACCAATTTTTGTGTCGCCTCTACGGAGTAGTGGCGACATAATTATAGGGATCAATTCTCAGTCGTCTGTCTGTCCGTCTGTCCGTCCGGCACAAAACTTGTCCAGACGACTCATAAACTACTGGTGCAATTTCATCCAAACTTTACAGGAATGATCAGTACCAAGTCTAGTTGTGCATATTATCAGCATTTTCCGGTTCAATGATTTTTGTCAGAGTTATGGCCCTTTAATAATTTTTATTTTTAAAGTTTGTCCGGACTACTTCTCTTATACCACTAATCCAATTTCAATGAAACTTTACAGAATTGATCTGTAGCTCAAGTCCTTGTGCATATTGCACGGGTTTTCCGGTTGAATGATTTTTGACCGAGTTTTGGCCCTTTGATAAAAGGTGTTTTTTTCCTGTGTGTTGCCAGATACACAAAAGCTTGTCCAGACTACTCCTCATAAACTACTGGTGCAATTTCATCCAAACTTTACAGGAATGATGAGTACCAAGTCTAGTTGTGCATATTGTCAGCATTTTCCGGTTCAATGATTTTTGTCAGAGTCATGGCCCTTTAATAATTTTTATTTTTAAAGTTTGTCCGGACTACTTTTCTTATACCACTTATCCAATTTCAATGAAACTTTACAGGATTGATCTGTAGCTCAAGTCCTTGCGCATATTGTACGGGTTTTCCGGTTGGATGATTTTTGGCCGAGTTATGGTCCTTTGATAAAATGGTGTTTTTTTCTGTGTGTTGCCATATACACAAAAGCTTGTCCGGACTACTCCTCATAAACTACTGGTTCAATTTCATCAAAACTTTACAGGAATGATCAGTACCAAGTCTAGTTGTGCATATTGTCAGTATTTTCCGGTTCAATGATTTTTGTCAGAGTCATGGCCCTTTAATAATTCTTATTTTTAAAGTTTGTCCGGACTACTTCTCTTATACCACTAATGCAATTTCAATGAAACTTTACAGGATTGATCTGTAGCTCAAGTCCTTGCGCCTATAGCACCAATTTTAATTATTTTTGGCCAAGTTATGGCCCTTTAATAAAAAGGTGTTTTTTCTGTGTGTTGCCAGATACACAAAAGCTTGTCCGGACTACTCATCATAAACTACTGGTGCAATTTTATCAAACTTTACAGGAATGATCAGTACCAAGTCTAGTTGTGCACTGTATGTCTGTCTGTCTGTCACAAAACTTGTCCTTACATGAAATTGGCCATCATGAGGCGACACATGTGATCACTGATCGCTCTTGTGTAATTATGTAAACTTAAAGTTTGGAGCAATATGATGGTATCTCCTTACTTATATAATAGGAGTTATAACATATCACACCTTAGTGCAGAAACAAGTTAAATCCTATTGGAATTTAATAGGAGATAACTATTTACTGCACTAAAAGGATGATGAATTATGATTATTTTGCACCAAGCTTGTAAATTATGCTGGTTAATAAACATATTAATAGAATGATTGGTGGTGAGAGTTCACCTAGTATGAAGAAAATTGTTTTGGAAACTTTAGTTTTAGCCAAGTGTCATCTTAATCCTGTTTATGCTAAATTTGTAACTCTCCTTTTGACCGATGCCAATAGCATTAGAAATGTTGATATGAATTTACAATATGTTGGCATACTGGTGTGTGTTTACACAACATTATGTGTAGACCAACTCCTAGAAGTGAATGCTTTATGAAAAAAATAAGTATGTTACCAAATTTTCAGAGTGAAACTTCTTGAAGTATACCATAAAACTGGTTCAAATGTTTATCTTATTATTGTTATATAACTTCAAAAAAATATGTGCAATAAAGAAGTAAAATTCATATGGAAGTTGTATGTTTTCCAAAAATAGATTCTGATGGACCCTCACATACAGTCACTACATACATATATACATTTAGATATTTTGTTTAATGGGTCTTGTATGTCAAATCACAGGTGAACGTCGCATGGCCATTACATACACTATATCCCCGTTCCCCCTCTACAACCAAAAACCCTTAAACATCATCCAAACATCATAAGTATTGACAAAAATAAATTTTATTAAAAAAAATTATGACTCTAACAAATTATAATTTTATGATCAGAGTTCTTGTACTTCCACCAGAATTAGACAAACAAGAGTATGACTTACCAGGGTATTACTTGTTAAACAATCAACAGTATTTTGAAGGCTGAAACCTTCCCATCCTATCCAATGTCTAATGATAATAAACTCATAAGTTTTTGTTCCATATTGAGACATTTTACTGTTCTCGTATTCTTGATTATGTTATTTTTAGGATATATCTATATGACTGTAACAAAATATGGCGTTACTATTAAAGTGGATTTGTTTATAATTTAGTACATTTTCTAAAAGAACTTATTTCTAATATTGATAAAAAAATGGGCATCCGTGGTCGAGTGGTTAAGGTCATTTTTCTTCAAACCACTTGCCCCTCACCGTTGTGTGTTTTGAATCCCATTAGGGACTTTGGTTTCTTTTATCTGAGGAAACTATTCAGCTAGCTTACTGCCGTTGCTGGTACTGCTACTACTTCTGCTTCTCCTGGTTTTACTATTGCCATTGTTGGTCATGTCTCTATTTCTATTGCTGCTGTTTTACCACTGCCTTTGCTGATACTACTTCAGTTGCTGCTGGTTATACTATTGCCGATGCTGGTACTGCTACTTCTTCTGTGGCAGGTTTTATCACTGCCTTTGCTGATACTACTTCTGTTGCTGCTGGTTTTACTATTGTCGATGCTGGTACTGCTACTTCTTCTGTGGCAGGTTTTATCACTGCCTTTGCTGATACTTCTTCTGTGGCTGCTGATTTTATCACTGCCGTTGCTGGTACTGCTACTTCTATTGCTGGTTTTATCACTGCTGTTGCTGGTACTGCTACTTCTACTGTGGCAGGTTTTATCACTGCCGTTGCTGGTACTGCTACTTTTACTGTGACAGGTTTTATCACTGCCTTTGCTGGTACTACTTCTACTGTGGCTGCTGGTTTTACTATTGTCGATGCTGGTACTGCTACTTCTTCTGTGGCAGGTTTTTAATCACTGCTTTTGCTGATACTACTTTCTGTGGCTGCTGATTTTACCACTGCCGTTGCTGGTACTGCTACTTCTACTGTGGCAGGTTTTATCACTGCCGTTGCTGGTACTGCTACTTCCTAATGTGGCAGGTTTTTATCACTGCCGTTGCTGGTACTGCTACTTCTATTGCTGGTTTTATCACTGCCGTTGCTGGTACTGCTACTTCTACTGTGGCAGGTTTTATCACTGCCGTTGCTGTACTGCTACTTCTATTGCTGGTTTTATCACTGCTGTTGCTGTACTGCTACTTCTACTGTGGGCAGGTTTTATCACTTGCCGTTGCTTTGTACTGCTACTTCTACTGTGGCAGGTTTTATCACTGCCTTTGCTGGTACTATTTCTACTGTGGCAGGTTTTATCACTGCCTTTGCTGTACTAATTTCTACGTGTGGCAGGTTTTATCACTGCCTTTGCTGGTACTACTTCTACTGTGGCAGGTTTTATCACTGCCGTTGCTGCTTTTGCATATAATGATGCTGCTGCTGCCGCTGCTTTTTATGATAATTAAATTATTTTTGCTCTTATTACTACAAAAACTACTAGTACTGCTGCTACTGCTACCACCACCAGTACGACTTCTCATGCTTCTGCTAAACCCAGCATTACCTAATTGCCATTGTTACTACTATACAATGTAATGTCCAACAGGAAGTTTTTTTTCACTTGTTCAAATATCTTTTTGTATGTTTATTATCTATACATGTATTTTCTACCGCAAGTGCATAGATACATTTTTATATTTTGGGAACGAGCAAAAATTTAATTTAATTTATTTAGATTTGTCCCTTTGATAAAAAATGATAAAAAAATTTCTTTAATTAAAATGTTGTATGTTGTTTTATTTTCACTGTGTATCCCAATTTCAAATTTTTTTTCTACATTTTTGTGTTTTAAATTTTGTTCTTTTTTTATGGGGTCACAAAAATGTGAATCAATGAAGAAATTTTAAACCCCAAAATCAAATTTTCCATAATATTAATTTTTAATGTTTTTCCATTCCTTTAAATGAGGGGTTCTTAAACCACTGAAAAAACAAATTGCCACCGGGTTTTATTTTAATGTGTACATTGGGATCCCATAGGGAGGGGGGTTTGGCTAACCAAAAATTTTAGTTTTTTCCCTCCCCTTTTTAAAAACTAATGAAAAAGGCAAAAAATTTTAAACACTTTGATTCTTCAAATTTTTCCCTTTGGGCCTATAAATTTTGAAGAACCCCTCCATAAATGCAAAAAAAATTTTCCCCTTTACGAAATTTACTGGATGCCATGGTTTTAAAAACCCTAAAACGTCGAATTTCGAAAATTTACAGTACCCATCAAATGTCATAGACAAAAAATTTTTAAAGACTTTAAACATGAAAAATGGAGTAAAAGTTTTGTCTGCACTAACAAATAGCTTTGCAAATTTCTTTGAAACTCCCCTAGTTTCGGTTGTGGGGGGAAACCCGTTTTCCGACTTTTTACCATCAAAATTTTAAAAAAATCCCCAATAAAAAAAGGCCGTGAAAGGGACCCCCTTGAATTTTTGGTTTGGGATTTTTTTTCAAAGCCCCTTCCCAGATATCTCTTTTCAGTTTTAAAATGTTCTGTTGAGTTGAAAACATTTCATTTTTAAAAATTTCCATGATATCAATAGTATTATTGTTAGGGTAACAAACAGCAAACTTCAAAAACCATCGACTCTTTTGACTGACCATGGTTTCTGAAGACGTAGATCTCGAAGTTTTGTATTCCAGTGTTTCATTTTTTACATCATTACAGCCTAAGTTGATTCCTCTCTTTGCAGGCCGACAATTACATGATTCCCAATCCAAGCACATGTTCGGGCAAAAAGCAATTGAAATCTGTTAAGTTAATTTCGTTTTTCAATTCAATTTTTCCAGTTAACTTCAGTTTCGGCATTCCATGTATTTTGGGGTATTTCCAGTTTCGTTTTTTACCTCTACAAAGTCGAATACATGACTCGATTGATTTCGTTCAACTTTTCTTCTGAAATATCAGTTTCTAACACTAAACTGCTCAATGCTCGCAGCACCTCTGAGATCTTTGAAAACATCTTTTTCATACTCTTTCAAGTTCCTTTTCCTAATTTTCTCCTCAACAGAAATGAATGCAGTTTTTCACCGCATCTTTCAGTAAAATCTAGATACTGATTGGACTGGTTTAAACATCAGATGTCAATTTCTTGATCTTCTCGGTCTGGGTAATATTTTTTTTCTTAAATAATGCTAGAGCTTTTCTCGTTATAATTTCTCAACATTACTTTTTTTAAATTTGGGCAAAGCTGTCATCTATTGACTTCTTAAGATCTCTAAGCTTTTTTTTTCCAAATCATTTTTTGAAGCTCTTATCAACATTTTGGTTTTGATTTGCTTCATGTTCAGTTAGCTTTTTCGGAAGGGACTGAAAAATTTTTTTAAAATCTCAAACCCCAATCCTATCAGAATTTTCAAACTTGGTTTACTTCGTCTGGGATAAAAGATCTTTATAAAATTTTCCGGGTTGTTTTTCACTCGCTGATTCTTAAAAGGCGTTTTGGTCTTTGCAGATTTTATCAAACCCTTTTTCCGTCTTGTGCTCAGGGGACAGGGTTTAAAAGGTTTTTTTAAAAAAATTTTGAATTTTGAAACTTTCCTTTCCCTTTGTATCAAGTTTAAAAGTTTAAATGCCGGGGAAAAGGCTTGTAATTTTCTTTTTGTTTTTTCCCACACACTTTCCCTTACTTTCTGGAAAAGGCATTTCGAACAGAAATTTCTGCTGGGACTTTTTGTTCTTCTCGGAGACTTGGCTAACAGGTAAACCCTTTTCGGGACTTTTATTTTTTTTTCACACTTGTTTTAAACCCGAAAAGATTCAAATTTGTTTTTTAAAAACCTCCACCCTTTCTCTCGACAGAAAACCCCAAATATATTTTAGTACTGTCAAGGGAAAATTTAAAACTATTTAATTTTTTTGTGTGAGCTATTCCATTTTCGTATAATTTTTAAATTTTTTAGATTTTAGGACAAATCAAAACTTTTGAAACAGATTTTTTCCCCACGATTACGCTATTCTTAACCCTTTTGTCGACAAAAGCATCTGTTCCTTTTGTTTTTAAAGATGGGGAAAGATCAAGGATTTGCTATATATATTTTAGCGAAGAAAAAATTTCCCAATACCCCAAGAAAGGATACAAAAAGGACATTTTACAGAAAAATTTTGATCTTTTTCCCTTTCCGACACCAAAAATTTTGCTTCTTCTTTTACACGAAAAAATTTTTTTTCACATGTATTTTCGTAACGCTTTCCCTAAAATTTTTTAGACCTTCACAAAAACCCCGGACGACTGTCAGTTCATCAAATAATGTGAAAAAAAAATGCCCCCCCCCCCTTGGATCATCAATTTAATCTCTTTTGTTCGAAGTTATATTATCTTAAAATAAACATTAAATTTTGTTATTCTTTTTTGTTAACAACTCAATATAAACATGTACATTCCAGATATATTTACTTTATTTAGATGCGAGTGTAACATTTTATTTAACAATACATTCTTGGCCATTTTGACTATGGGGCAAACAAAAAAAGGCAAAAAATTCCAGCTTTTAAAGGCACGTACCCAACAGATCAATCAGAGTTAATTTTAAGATGACAGAAATAAACTTCAGACAAAACTAAGGCAAGAAAATATGATAAATCAAGAATCGACAAAGAAAGGCGGGCCCCGTTCGTTTCATCATGAAAGCCAGCCCCCACCCGACCTAGTAAACAAGCGTACAGGAGGACCCCAAAACCAAAAATAGGGAAAGAAAACTGTTTTAAAATTTGAAAACAATGTGAACATTTTAAGCTTAATGTTTTAACCTTAAACTTAATGTTTTACAATTAAACTGTGACCTCCAGAATGATAACCCATAATTAGTGTGGCCGATACACAATTGACTTATCACTATAGACTATATATATGTCAAGGTTAAATCCCAATGAGGTACCTTTAATTCACACACACAAACACGCACGCACGCACGCACGCGCAAACCCACACACAAGTATTACAGCAACGATCAACATTTTTTACTTTTAAAAAAAAGCAAACAAATAAACCGTTAAACAAATATTTTTTAAAAAAAAATAAAGAAAAACTATTAAGTTTTTCCTTTTTTATTTAAATAGGTCTGTCTAGTGACGCTTGTTGCTTGTTCCGGGTTTTGAATATCATTTAAAAAAAATTTCCCAAATTTTTAAAGAAAAATAAGCAAATTTCAATCTTACTTCCCGAGGGGCCAGATAATTAAAAAGGGTAAAAATTTCCAAAGTCGTTTGGCCCACATAAAAATTTTTTTGTCCAGATAATCTTTTCCTTAATAAATAAAATTTTAGAAAAAATTTACCCAAATTCAAAAAAATTTGTTTTTCAAAACGGTCCGGTTTTTAAATGTTAAAGGAAAGTTCAACCAAAAAGGGAAGGTCTTGTTAAAAGGGTTTTTGGGTAAAAATATTGGAAGAAAAAATTCATGTTTTACCTCCAAGTTACACCCGTTTTTTAAAAAATAATCAATGAAAAAAAAAAATTTTGATTGTTTTGTTGTACTTTTTGCCCCAAAGGTAAAATTTTGGTTTAAATATTAATAAAGTACCCTGACCTAAAAAAATTAAATGTTTTAAAATATAAAATTTTAAAATTCCTTTTGTAAATGAAAAAATTGTAGTCAGTAACTAAAAAGAAGAATTTCATTAATTTGACCTTGACGGTCAATGTCAATTAAAGGTCAAGGTCACATCTAAATTATTCAATATAATTGTTTGGAAGCAAATCTTGTTTTGTTTAAGTATTAATGAAATCGGTAAATAAACAACATAATTATGGTTATTTAACCAAAATTAAATTTGACCTTTGATGGTCAAGTAAACCTCAAGGTCAGTTCAACCGTTTAGAAGGTCTTGTCCAAAAGGTTGTTTTATCCAAGTACGAAGATAATCCATATATTAAAAAAACAAGTTAAAGTCAATTATACCAAAAATCTGTGAAAATTCAATAATATAACCCTCAAGGTCATTGTCATCAATAAGCCAATGTCTATTTGAGTTTGATACACATGCAGGACTTATCCTAAAGAATAGTCTTAATATGAAGTCAATCCATTCATTAATAACAAAGTTATAACCAATTACACCAAAAATGAAAATTTCAATAATTTGACCTTCAATGTTAAGATCATTTATGAGTAAAGGTCAATATCTGTCTGGATAACTTGAAGGTCTGTCCTTAAATATTGATGTGTTCAAGTTTGAAGAAAATCTATTCAAAAATAACAAAGTTATAGCCACTAATAGAAACAGGAAGGCCATAATGGCCCTTTTATCGCTCACCTAATTATGAAGGCTCAATTCCAATTTCCAGGATATTTGGATTGTAACAGTATCCCCTAGAGTATTAATCAGGTTTTTTTCCATATTTAGGCTATGTGACCTAGTTTTTGACCCCAGGTACCTCATATTCAAACAGGACCTTAAAGCCATTATAACAACCTGTCTGACCAATTTCCAGGAAAATTGAACTGAAAAAGTAGACTCTATTGCATTAACAAGGTTTTTCATTATTGGT